ACTATATTATAAACAGGTCTTGTCTCGGCCGGGAATCGAACCCGCTATCCATAGTGCGCCAGGCTGGCACGTTACCACTTAGGCTACGATGTCGGTAATAAAAGAAGTTACACAATCATTACAAGCTTTAGAATGCTGTTACTGGAATGAATATCATTCGCAAAAAATAGTGGTTACGGTACGAATACATTTCTCCAGCAGACTATTAACATTAATAGAAGATAGGAATGAACAAATTATTTTATAGATAAATTAGAATTTTATATGCATTCATAGAATTTTTCTGCGAGAAACATTACATCTCGGACATAATATTACTTTCTTTCATCAGATGGCCTACTTTACCCCATTATAATTCTTGTATTCTAAGTATAATGAAAACCATACTGATTATCGAAATAGTTTTATTATTTATTACACCATTTTGATTATCAAACAAAAACAGAATGTAAGCGTGTTTACTGTTCGTTGGTCATCTTTCATACTTATGATTTAAATCATCGATTTTAACCCACTTCGAAGATGTATTTTCTTTTATCATACTGTAGAAATGACCTTACGATAAAGACTTACCTTCATAGAATATAGCGCTCTTTACTGTGTGAATGTTATAACAGATATTGACTTTTTCTGAAGAAATAGCTTTAAGAGAGCCTAGTATACGTTTTATCAACTTTATCACTATTAGGAAATATATTTAGCAATATATCAGCAATAAATAGCCCAGTAGAAGATAGTTCTTTCTACTTACAAATTGACATAACTGCAAGTATTGCATCGATCCACATATTGTAAATGATTAGTAAATAGTTGTTGGATTTTATAATATTTTTTACATAACAGATCAAATAATAATAGAGGGTTTAGTATTATTTTGTTATTATCATTCAACAAACAATTATTTCTTCATTTAATTGCTAAAAACATTTTTCTATCAATAATTCCTGAAAAAATTTATTCAAATCGGTATGCAACACGCGGGAAACATTCTTCATTTTTTAGAACATAGATGTCTCTTAGTTAAGCAAGAGAGAAAAAAACATTACAAGGTTAACGTAAAAGAGAGTGATCAAAATACGTAAGGCAAGAAAGAGGGCACTGGAGGAAGCCCAACGTGAAAGTAAGTGGCAAAAGACACATTTAGTAAGAGAGAACACTTGATGAGAGAACAACTCTAGACCTATGTACAATTACCAACTTGAAGAATTCAAAAATGTAAATTTCTGCCTGTAAACAAAATACAATATGGTGGATAAAATATTTTTCTTATATGTAGTCTATTGATGTACAGTTGCCAACTCAAGAAATCTGAGAATCTTCACTTTTGTCGAATATTCTTTAGAAAAGTTCACACTTTCAATCTTTACGGATGAATATCTTTGCAATCAATAGACTAAAAATAATGATTAATGCTGCAAATAAAAGCTTATAGATAATTTGTATGGCAAATCTATGGATGAATAATGCGTATGTGCTGTACTTTAAAAGTTAATAGAAAAAATAGAATTGAGAGGAAAGGGGGAGGATAAATTTCCTTGTATAGAGTATCTGCTGTTGTGCGCTGTCATGAGGGAGTGCAAAAGAGATAGATAATATAAAAAAGAGTAAGAATCAGAAAGTGGGATGTGGAATTGGCCCGAGTGACAAGCAGATCACTCTTGTATTATATTCACACAAACGGTTTTTGTAATTGTATCTCTTTGTCTGACAGTAAGTCATGAGTTTTAATAGATAGGACCTGAAGAGTATCGAAGGATGCTGAGAAAAAATATATTACCTATGAGAGGAAAGAAAAAAGACAGGAAAATTAGAATTATCATATAAAAGACCATATAAAGTAATTGAAATAATGCCTGAAGGCAATGTTAGAATTTTACAGCATGGTAAATTTAAAATAGCTTATCCAAACAGCACTGCCTCGTGGTTATTATAATTTGGAACAAGATGAGATGGATGAGTGTTTGTTGAAGAAAGCATTGCTAGGATTGAAATGGAATCATCCTGGGTTGACTGGTCTTGTGTCATATGAAAAGATGAACATTACATTGACCACTACTGCACCGGTTTAGTTTGCTTATTTATTAATAGAGGAACCGGGATACATCTGCCGGTGGATTTGCATCTTATTTATTGGGATATTCTACTACGTATACAGATATTGATTATGGGACAATTCATCATGAATGTTTTACAAATTATAATGACGACAAAATTCATCAATACATTCAAAATTGTAACATTCATCGCATTTCTAATACGAGAACATATATGCATGTGTACAAACATAAAAAAATACCTTTACAAGTTATCTCCATAGGAGTTACAAAGAAAGCATTCGACAAGTTGTTTGGGAATAATCAAAATTTTATCAAACCATATTTTAAATTAATCGATTTCATGTTTAATAATACAATATGTGAAAAAGAAATATTACCATTTAGTAGATATTATTTTGATATAAATAAAAACGAGAATGATGATTTCAAAACTGGAGAACTTCAACAAAAATACTCACAACATATTATAAATTATGGAACACCGGAATCATTGATCGCCATGTATTGCAGAATATTGAGCAATTGCTCATCATCATTGTCATCATGATATTAAAAAATGTAATTGAAGTTTATATTAACAAATTTCGTTGAAAAATTTAAAACCTTGTAGAGCATAATTTAATAATGGAATAATAATAAATGAAAACTTCTATAATTTTTTTTTGTTTTTCCATTTATTTTTAAGTATGTGTTGAGAATTAATCAATTCTCAGTTTGAATTGCCAGCTGATAGGAACTTCGGCGGCCATCTTAGGACTGGGTCGATAACCAATCGACCAAATAATTAATAATTCTTAATCTAGTCACTCATTTGATTAATTTTCAGTGTCCATCTTGACCAATGATGTTCCTGTCGCCATTCTTTTTCTATTCTTCTTCACGTGTACACGGATTCTCATTCTCTTTTCACAAATCTTTCTTTTCTGAGTCAATCATTAGTACTAGTGCAATTTGAATTCAACAGAAACATTCACCAGTTTATTCTAGAAGTAATTCTATAAATATTTCAAGACAATTCAAAGTAAATTCGAGTATTTAAATTAAATTCATTTTTGCATTACATTGATAAGCTAACGCCACGTGTACAATCACGTTTTCTTGACTTGCGAAGCGTGTTGAGCTCGTATGGGAGGTTAATAATACCAAACACACCAAGTTAAGCTTTTCTCAGACATTCAATTAAACTTCAGTGAATCAACAATAATTGACATTCAGTCTTCCTATTCAGTAGCAAAAAATTGTACAGTGAATATTGTGTACCCGTTAGTGCTGAAAATAAAGATTATATATTTTTTTATAAAACCTGCCTTCCGTTTGCTCTGTTCCGGCACAATTATCTCGATCCTTAAACGGTTAGGTTATTTAAAAGTTGAGATTTTCTCAACAGTATGCATGCTTGAATTCCTTTTTATTTAACATGAGTATAGAAAATATACATTCAATTATTTTATATTAATTTACGAATTTGACCACTTAAAGATTTTATTCAACTGTTTGCTCGCGTAAAATGAAACAATATGCAGTTGTGTTTGTAGGAAAACTTTCTTTGGCTTCAAATTTCAGTCAAACATCTACAGATCCAGCTTTAATAGATTCATTCTGTATTGAACAATCTATTACGATGAAGGGTCCTCTTCTTGAAAAATTTTCTCTGTTTAAATACGATCTCATAATATCTTTACTATAATAAGATGAATAGAAATTTGTACACGTTTCATATAAAAGTACATATTTAGGGTGCATTCCGTAAATGAACTCCCGTTGTAGTACTACAGCTACAGTATAATTTATTCCTAAACTGAATTGTGGCAAATTCTGTAGCTACGCTGTAGCAGAGTGAAGATAACCGCGTATTCGGTTGGTAATATAAATTTTTAATAAGTAAGTGATTTTGCAATCACGAGATGGCAGTTGTAGCTATGCTAATTTCAAAAAATGTAGGATGAGTTTACTTTTGTAATATTTTGTGTTTTGATATTATGAAAATTCGAACCATAGTATTTCTGAATAATCATATTTTTTCATAAGTTCATTATTTAATGCATATTAATTTTTGACTTCTCGTGAAGAAGTTATTGTAATAATTCGATTTGGTGACTCCAAGATTTTAACCAATCTCGACGTTTTAACATGTGTAAAATTTGTTATATATATTGTGTACTTCTACAGTTTTCACAAAAAGTTATTCGTTTTTAAATTATCCATAAATAAGCGTTAAGAAATACACAAAATCATAAAATACCATGTGTATGTTTAGTACAATAATCGGTTACAATGATTTGGCAATTTTTCCCATTTATCAGTTGGTATCGTTATAGGAGGTTCTATGCATGGGCATTGCAAGTAGCCTCAATTTTTTTTTTACATTCAAGTTTTTTTACTTCTATTCTGATAGAGGGTACGAAGTATAGTTTTGTGTATAAGTGTTATTACCATTAGAATTGAGCAATACTGGCACTAGAAAAGCCTTCGTAAAAAAATATTTCTCAAAGTTATGTATTATATGTGTTACCAATTTATTACTCCAATTAATATATTAATCAACAAATTAATACTTGGAAGGTACTTTTATGTGCTTATTTTAATGTTTACAACAATTTCAACCGAATATTTGAGTACACATATGATGATATTTAAAACTTTTTCAATTATTTCATCTGCTCCCATTCAATCATATTAAATTTAGAAAAGTTATTTAGAATATTGATCTTGGGACATATTGATCGCAGATTACGAAAAAGAAATTTTCAGTATCATTTTTCTCATTTCAAGCATTCATGTTTCTGATTTCAACTTTATATAGAACGACAATGAACCAAAATTTTTTGATGGATGTATCTTGCTATTCAAGAATTTTAATTCATGAAATTTAAAGTATTATTTTGTCAGTGATACAATAAAATATTGAAATCTTATCTTTGATTACTTTATGTTCATCTTTAGGTGCGTTTCTTATTCCTTATGGCATCATGCTAGTTGTTGGTGGCATTCCTTTGTTTTATATGGAACTAGCATTGGGTCAATATAATAGAAAAGGGGCTATCACATGTTGGGGCCGTATCGTTCCATTGTTAAAAGGTAAGATTGTCTCATCTACTTTTATTTATCATAATAAAACTCAAAGTAGATTTTTCTCATTACTAATGTTGATTAGGAATTGGCTATGCAGTTGCATTGATTGCATTTTATGTCGATTTTTACTATAATGTTATAATCGCTTGGGCTCTTCGTTATTTTTTTGCATCATTTACGGACTTACTACCGTGGACCACTTGTAAAAATCCTTGGAATACACCTTTGTGCCATGAATTTAACATAAATCAATCTGAAATGCAAGCTGAATGGATAACATCTGAACACCATAATATATTTAATCAAAGTACTGGCGATCTTCCGAGCTTAGCGCCAAATTTTTATGTCTGGACCATTGATTCAGGAGATGCTGAAAATGCATCCAGATTTACTAGTGCTGCTCAAGAATACTTCAAGTAAGTTTTAAATTTGTGTATTGATTATTCTCAATGTTTTTGGAATGCATAATGTAATCTAACGTAATATTCATTATTGATCATAGCCGAGCAATTCTTGAACTTCATCGAAGTACAGGAGTAGATGATTTAGGAATCATCAAATGGGATATTGCTTTATGTCTTCTCATCGTTTATCTTATTTGTTACTTCTCTTTATGGAAAGGAATTTCAACGTCAGGAAAAGTATATTTATATTACACATATATTCATTAATGTAAGGAATGATATTTTTCAGAGTTCTCGTATATTAGAGTTTGAGATTCAAGTGATGATTTTAGATATAATCCCAAAAAAAATTGTACTACGCTTTTTGTATAATGCATCTTCACAAAAGATTTTTTTTTAAAAATTATGCTAATCTAAAGAATTTTGATCTTACGGGTGCTAGTTTTTCATAACATTTTTCAATTTAGGTATATGTGTATTTATACACAATTGAACATGAATTAAAAATCTTAGAGAAAATATCAATGTTCAACACTCAAATAACTATTAGTTAATAATATAGATTTATAAGAGAAGTATTTTTTAATGACCAGTTTATTTTTGAATACATGTCATCTACTGTCTTGATTCACTTTCTTTGGATTTACATCTGATATCAAGCTGATTTTATCACTATGATAACCAAAACTTTTAATAGCAAAATTTCAATTTAATAATTGAAATTCTAGCAAATAAAAAGATCAAATGCTCGATACATATTCGTAAAAATAATTTAATTTAGGACCGTTTGTGTGTTTATCGTTGACAGATCAGCTATACGAAAGTTATTATTAACTAATTAACGCTCTTGGATGCTCTGAAATAATAAATAGGAAAGTTACTATTTCAATGATAAATTATGAACCAAATTCTTTACCAATTACAACACAAATGCAACTATTATATGAGAGTATTCAGATATTTGAATTTTTTCGAAAGCGTATTGATTAATTGACGCATCGATTCTTCAGAAAAGAATCCGGAGTGTAAGAATAATTTGAAACAGAACAACTGTTCAGATTTAAATACATAGAACTTCAATCTTATCGTAAAAATATTACTTCAAATACAATCAAGATTAAAAACATTTCTTTTCTCTATTTTCTATTTTTTGGTGGGAAGTTATAGTAATGGGTCCGATTCTGCGAATCCCGAATTTTGACATATCTCTACGTTTTAAGGTCCCCAGAGTCGAATACGATTTTTTTCCAGTGGACGTTGGTGTGTGTGTATGTACGTATGTGCGTCCGGAATCATTTTTCGTCTCGATTGTCTCGAGAACAAAAAATGGAACCAACTGCATTCGACACGTAATTGCGCAACTTAAAAGTAATTAGATTTTCAGCAAAATCGGTCCAGCCATTTTTTTTGCAGAACCAAAAAACTAGCAAAAATGGAATATGACCTGAATTTCTCAATTTATAAATTATACCATTTTTTAGATAAAATTCCAAAATCTTTAAAGAAATATCAATATTAAATGATTAGAATACTTGTACGAAAATATGATGACAATATTTTATCGAAAAAAAAAATTTTAAAAAACAAAATCAGCAATGAAAGAATTTTAAACTTGTGTTGGGATGGAGAAAATAGCATTAAAGACGCTATAATAGTCAATAATAATTGTCAATAATATGGAATTGTGTTCATAACAATTGAACATTGTTAATAACAAATGATTATCGATCATAATAATATTTAAATAAAAAGTTTTAAATTGTTATGAATAATATAAAATAGGGATCCATGCTATGTATGTGAGTACTTTTGACGCATAATTTTTTCTTTTATTGAAAAAAAGGTCACCAACCGTATGACATAAATAAAAACATACTTTTTTCGTTTATAACAATAAAATTTGTTATAAATAATGGAAAAAAGAATCTATGAGGTATATCTGAATTCTTTTAACGGACAATTTTTTCTTTTACTGAAATAAAGTAACTAATTATATCAAATGAATAAAAACAGACTCATTTCGTTTATAATAATTCCATTTGTTATAAAGAATGGAAACGGGTTCTATTTGAGGTGTTTTTCTATTTTTTCTACTGGGAAGTTGGTCGTGTGGACCTTTCGGGTCGCACTCAGACCACTGCAGAGCACTGATATTTTTGTTCAATTTGTTCTTTTAGTTCTTTTGGTTTTCTTGACTTAATTTGTTTTGTTGGCCAGATATGACTCCTCTCCACAACTTACACAACTGAAGACCAGGACACGTCTTGTTCATTTTTATAGAACTATCTTAGTTAAGTCAGATGCAAGTTTGAGCTTTAGCTTTAAGTATTGGGAATTTAGAGATATCTTGAGAGATTTTGAATTAGTTAGTAAGATTTGAGATATTAAGTTTAGATAAAAGTTGGTATTACATTTAAGTTATACCCCTTTAGTTATTCTGGTGAATAAAAATACCTGGCGCCCTAGGTAAAGTAGTCTTCTAAGGATGGTTCTAATCAAGATTCGATAAATTTGAATGATTCCAGTCTTTACTAACGTATTGCAGTAATAATTAATCTCTCCTTAGAAAGTCTAGAATAATTTTGCCTAAAAAGCGTCTTCAAACCGTCATAGTAGCACGGGAATATTAAGTTTAATATCCAAATTTCGCAATGATTGCACTACCGTGTACTACTGGTATCAATTCTGCCACTAGGTACTTCTTTAATGTTTCTTATTCTGTTATTTTTTTGTATACTCGAAGAATTATTTGTAAAATCGTTGATATTATTCATTTCACTCGATTTAACAATAATCTGCATCGGACATAAGTGCTGTTCAATTTTCCGAGGTTATAGACGAGGTTTATCTATACCCTTTCAGATAAAATCACACTGCATTTATGTCTGGTACTGTACTACTGAGTGCTTCTCATTCATTTGCTTCTTCAGTGTTGCACACTCAGGTTTGAATTGATTGATTTTTGCGGTTGAACTGATTTTGTGGAAGCCTTTTCTGTTTGTATCAATCTCACTCAGCGGTCGATTTTCAAGACACATTTTCTAAAAATGCTATTCTCTTTACCATTTGCTCACGATTCGTTTAAAAATTAAGCGTCACATTTTAATTTTTACAAAAATTCACATATTGCTGTTGGCTCTCAGAATAGAACATTATGCGTCCAAAGACCTATGTAGGCAATTATTGCCTCACGTAGATGACGTCATTCGAGTCGTGCGGCGCGTGCGTATAAGCCATAGGTAAGCGCAGATATGTGCAGCTTAAGTGACGTCATCCCGCTACGGCAGGGATAGTCATTAGGTCCCGTGGTGAATACGATCTTTATGATAGAAAGAGTTATGATAAGAGAAACTTATTCTAGCCGTATGGAAAGATCTGAGTACCCGATTAGCGACACGGTAAAAAGAGATTCTGTATTATTTTTGTAAACAAACAAATTACATACCCTCATAGGACTGTTCAAAGATTTACTTAATCTGCCATTATTTCTTCTAAAAACCTCAAACAAAATTGAGTGTTGGACCTGAAATTGATCATAATAACGTTTTCGAGTATTTATGTTATAAGGGATTTGAGTAAATTACGTAGGTCCCGCTTTACTTTACCGGTCGATAATCAGCAACTTAGGTCCCTCTTTACAGGTATGATAAGTTCCGTTTATTATGCTTATGTTATATAAAATATTTCGAACATCTGTATCACTTTTCACATCTGCTCTTTAGTGACTCAAAAAAACATATTAGCTTCTATAGTTAAATTACGTTGTTAGTTAGAGTTGGAAGTACACTCTCCACATTGGAGAGGAGAAACAAGATGATACTTGACAGCATCCAGTATTTCAGAGTTATTATAAGGAGATGAAATAGAAAAAAATCTTTCCAATGTAAAAGGAAACCTAGTATCCACGCCAAGTTTTTGATCTCAAATTTTTCAATGTAATATACTTAATTTTTTTGTTTATTGTTTTATTCTTTTAAGTATCAAAAATTACCTGTGATTTTAATTTTGCAAATACCAAACAATTTTAAATGAAATGAATTTATTTGACTTTGATAAATATAATTGATTTTATCTAAATGGAATACTTGGCGTATAATTATTTCACGACTTTTCGTAATCTTTGAATTTACGTGTATTTACGAAAATAGCATTTAATAAACAAAGATTATCGTCGTCGTCATTTAAACTTTGCGCGCTATTTTTTACAGTCCGTGGAGCTGTTTTTGGTAAGATTTTACGTTTTTTTGTTCGACACCTAGACATAGCAAAGTCTAATAGTCAAAAAGAACAACTACCTTGTCGATATACTCTCAAATTAGCACCGTTATTTCTGTTTTATTTCTGAACATGTTCGAAATATCACCATTGTATATAAAAATATCGTTTTTTTATAAATAAAATGTGAGAAAATGATCTTATGCACTCTTTATATCACAGATTGGAATAAGAATGCTCGATTAATAATAAACAAAACGATTAAATCCTTATGAATCACAATCGGAAGTGAATTCTTTATTGAATTGATAATTAATGACAATTCGAAAATACGAAAATACTATGGGGTTAAGGGTTAAAAGTACGGCCCCCCTATAAAAACTGCCCCGACATTTCATTATTTTTGCTCCATCTCTTACCGGTCGCGAGATATGAGCATTCAGTAATAAAAAACCATTGATGATATATAATGTTATACCGTGGATAAATTTCAGGATTTCAGTCAATTTAAATACACAAAAATTTATTTTAAGTGATCACAAATTTATTGTCACTTTTAATATTAATTACACTTAAATGTTTAGCACTAAAATTATAGTTAACAACAGTACAGTTAATTAATCACTTCTATTTATTACTGAATATTCTAAACTTATTGACAATATTCTGATTCTTATTCTTCACATGAATCGAGAAAACTTTATTTATTTCTGTTTCTACTTCAATGATAGTTTCCTGTCGACTGACTGAATAACCAAAAATTAAAAAATATAAAAATACAAAAGTAGTGCTACTAATGTGTTACTGCGCTTGAGAAAAATAAGTAAGAGAGTTGCTCTGAGTCTCGAGACACAGGCGTAATAATATTACAGTCAGCAAAATTTAAATACACGTATGGTGTGAGGTAGCCACGGCGTAACACCCTCACCCTTAGATTGGAAAATATTCTAAAAAGAAAAAGATTTTCAAGACAAAAAAGGGTTAAATTGAGTCTTCAAATTCTGATATGCGTAATTTTGATT